GTATAACTATAAATGGGCACTTCTTTTTGAGGTGATGAAAATATTCCAAATTTGGATGGTGGTGATGCTTCCCCAGCTCTGTAAATTTACTTAAAAATCACTGAATTGTACACTTTAAAGGAAAGATTATATTTTTAAAAGTCATGGCTAACATATATTGAGCATTTACTCTGTATTCAAGAGCTCTAATAAAGTATTTATATACATTCTCTTATTTAATCTTCACAACAACCCTGTTGGATGGTACTCTTATTAGTCCCATTTTACAGATGAGAAAATTGAGGTTGGAATGATAAAATCATTCTCTCAGAGTCACACAGCTAGTAAACGGTGGAATAGGACACTAGTCCAGATGATCTGACTCAAAAGTTTAACTACCCTGCCCAAGCTTCCCAAAAGGTGTTTGTTCTTCAGCATACCGGTCTGCCCTGAATTTGTTGGAGAGATGGCAACTCCTCACTCCTTGGTCTAATTAGGCAAGACCTAGAGCAAAGAGAACCCTGGGCCAGTTTCTTCAGGCTACAAGAGCCTCAGCAGTTTACCCTAAGTGCCATGGAAATGTGTTTATTCTGTATATGTGCCATAACTCAAAGCCCCAGCCCAGTTCATAATCATGTTGTCCTATATTGTAGCTGTTCACACTCCCTGCAAGGGGAGTGGTGGTCAGGATCACACTGGGGGGGCGTGTACCTAGCCTCTAGGTAAGTACTCCTTCTCCTGCACATGGTGCCTTCTCTGTCATGATAGAATATTTGACTAGATGACATGACAAAAATTGCTCTTAAAGACAATATAATTTTAGATGAGGAAAATTCATTTTCAAGCACATAGAGTTATGGAATAGAACTCTGGGCATCACTCTTCTCACTCTCATACACCAAATTCTAGCCTTTCTATCGTCTTAATATCTTTTGATTTGATTCATTTCTCTCCATCTGTGCTATTGTTATCCATCACTTCTTACCCGGATTACCCCAGTGGCAACATACTGGTCTCCATGCAACCAGTCTTGCCTTTATCCTTGATTCTCTATGCTATAGTGTAAGTGGTTTTCCTAAATTATATAGATCATGTCAGTCCCACCTTTAAAAAAAAAAAAAAAAAAATTTTATTTATTTGAGAGAGAGAGAGCCCTTGCAGGCATGAGCGGGGGTGGGAGAGGGAGAGGAGCAGAGGGAGAAGAAGAAGCAGGGAAGTAGGCCCCCCTGCTAAGCGGGAAGCCCAACCCAGGGCTCAATCCCAGGACCAGGAGATCATGACCTGAGCCAAAGGCAGCCATTTAAATGACTGAGCCACCCAGATGCCCCGTCAGTCCCCTCCTTAAAACATTTCAGTGGCTCCCCACTGATCAAAGTCCTTAATATGGACCCCTTTCACTCTCATACTCTTCCTACAGCCAGAGTCCTCTATATTCAGCTCCCCAAACCAGTGTGCTGATAGTGGGCCTTTGCACACGTTGTTCTCATGGCCTTACCTAAGGTTCAGGTTTGCCTAAATAAATAGAAAAAAAAAAACTAGACTCAGTTTTCTGGAAAAATAAATTTTCTTTCTGCTACCAAAGGAAAAGACATTAGCCCCTCTCCCCTCTTCACCTGGCTAACTCTTATTCATCCTTCAGAGCTTAGAATATCTTCCTGGATACCTCCCACCTCCGCCTTCCCCCTCCGCAGCTCCAGGCCTCAGTTAGACGTTGCACCCTATTGTGGCCCTTACATGGCTCCTCATCATCCATTTCATCTTCTAGTCTGCAGCTTTGGGAAGGCAGATCTGTGGTTTCCTTTTGCTTGGATATATCCCAGTATCTGGCACACAGCACATTGAAGAAACTCAACATATTTTAAATGAATGAAAGACATAAGTAGAATCCATAAGAGCAGAACTGGACATCTACAATCTATCCATGAGCTTTTGTCCTTCAGCTGCCCTTTTTGTAGGAAAACAATGGGATGCAAAACATCTAGACAGCTTGCCTGCCAAGCTGTCACCTGAAAGAGCATACTGCCTGGTGGCTCTGGTTCCTTGGAAGGATGAGAGAGGATAACTGTAATTTTTTACCAGCATACTATTCATTTGACTGTTTAATATCTTAACTGGCTTAATATCATTGAAAAAGAGCAAAATGCAAAAACCAATCCACCCTGAATATACCTCTATATAAATAATGTGTTTATGTATGGATGGGTAAGGACTGGCAGAGATAACAGAGAAATGAACACAATTGCTCTCTCAGAGTAACAGGATCATAGATGATTTGTCATTCTTTTGTTATTTTATCTTCAGTTATACTATTGCTTGTGCTAACAAACATTTTTAACATTAAGCAATCGGTGTCTGTATCAACTTAAATATTGGGTCTGATGGCAAATCAATAAAAATAATAAAATAGAACTGATTGTTCTATTTGATTTCCAATATATAGAACCGCCAAGAGACTCAGGATGTAAATTTACTTGAAAACGTGCAACAGGGGCGCCTGGGTGGCTCAGTCGTTAAGTGTCTGCCTTCAGCTCAGGTCATGATCCCAGGGTCCTGGGATCGAGCCCCGCATAGGGCTCCCTGCTCCTCGGGAAGCCTGCTTCTGCCTCTCCCACTCCCCCTGCTTGTGTTCCCTCTCTCGCTGTGTCTCTCTCTGTCAAATAAATAAAATCTTTAAAAAAAAAAAAAAACAGAAAACGTGCAACAATCATAATAATATATCCAACATGTATTGATCCATTGTCCAGGCATGGGGCTCAGCTTTACCTCATTACCTCCATTTTACAAAAGAAGAAAAAAAAAAAAAAACAAAAAACTTAGTTTAAAGAGGTTAAGTAACTTGCTAGTAAGTTAAAAACTAGTAAGTTAGGGGCATTGTTGGACGGCAGAAAGCCCAGCATGGCTTTCCCTTTGCTTTCCGCAGTACCACAGTGCTTCCTGATAGTTTGACCCTGGTTCCCAAATCCCTTCCAGTGCCCTTCCTTACAAGGATGCAGACTACATAAGTCTCTGCATGTCACTTCCCAGAGTCACCAGTCATCCACATTTTCCTTCTCTTGCCCTCTCAATAGCTTCTCTTCCTCAAAAGCCATAGGTCTCAAGCACCGCATGAGACAGAAACACTACCCGTGGCCCTCAGAAAACACTCTACCATTAAGGAAAAAAAGAGGGAATAGAATTCAATTGCAGCAGGAAAGATGTAGATTCTTCTCGTAAAAAAAGATTTTTGAAAATTAAAAAGTACTGAGTAAAATCATGAATGTTCCTACCCTGAAAAAAATCTTAAGAACTGGGCTGTTTTTTTAATGGCTTCCTGGGACATTTTAGGTGTGGCTCACCATAACGGCAACAAAGATGTAGTGGATGTCTTTGTAGGTTACTTTCAGCCCTCGAACGGAATCGGAGCATGCACAAGCCTCCGTGGCCCTCTCCCAGCTTCACTGGGTACTGGCAGGCCCAGGCAGGAAGCACATGCCAGGCTCAGAGCGCCTCCTCCCTTGATCTGTGAGCAGCATTCACAGTTTGAGAGTCCTGGCACTTAGCGAGCTTCCTGCTGAGCTGTAAAGTCATTCCAGACAAATCCCTGTGTTTACAGAGATTCCAGAGCAGCAGGGAATATCTCAGAATACCAGTCTGGATGCAGAAATTCGTGTGTCTGCACTAAGCTACTCTCCACACCTGCCCTGGCCCTCAGCTCCCCCTTCCTTCCACACCCCCTCCTCCACTTCCTTCTCTCCATCTGCTGCAGTTTCCTCCACACTGAGTCATCCTGGGATGTTACTAGTAAAGTCCTCTAAAAATCAAGTTAAACCAGTGGGAATGAAGTGGAAAGAAAGCTATTATTTGAGGAATAAATGAGAGAGGGAAAAAGAAGAGAAAGAGCAAGTGGGGAAAAAGAAAAGAGGTTTGGGTAGAGCTCTGGTCTAGATCATTCTCTCAGCATCTTATAAAGACAGAGACAAAAATGATCTATTGTAGTGAACTGGTGCTTCTGTCCATCCTGCAGGCAGCTCAGGCACATCACCCGCTCTCTTTCCATCCTTCACTTGCACTCAAACATTTTTAAACCAGAGATAGACACTTGAATTTAGAGTCAAAAGATGAGTTTGAGACCTGATTTTACTACTTTGCAGCCACTTAACTTCTCTGGGCTCCAATTTTCCAAATTCTTAAAATGGGATGTTCTCTAGTAATCCCAGGGCTGATAGAATGATAAACTGAGACAATACACGTGAAAATGCCCTTCAGCTTATACAAATAAAGCATGTTTATTAAATTCAATAAACAGCAAGTGTTTTCTATTCATTGTTCTTTCTGCTTTCCAACCCCTAGAAAATCTTTCGCAGAAAAACTGCCTTCCAGCCAGCATAACTGGGTTATTTTTAAAGCTCATACAAAAGCTCTAAAATGGAAAAGAAAAGCTAAAAATTGCCATTCAGTAGGGTTTCCAAGACAGCATTGAGCAATCCGAAGTCACTGTAGAAGCTCTGCTCAGATAGATCAGCAATAACCAATCTCTTTTAGAGTCAGGGTATATGCAATTAAAAGCAGCAGGTCCTCTTGCTAATACTTTCTAATACCATTTGTTTAGAAAAATCCAGAGAAAATTTCACCACACTTACTATTATTCATATCTCAGCCAGTTCTCCTTAATCACAACTTTTCTTCCTTGGATCCTTAAGTAAGTTCTCAGCAAGCTTTAAACACGTCAAATGAATTCTTATATAACCAGGTAGCCCAGGATGAGTTTAGACAACCAAGTTTCAGAACCTTGATGAGAAGAAATGGGAAAGAAATTTGCCAGGGCTGTTGATATCCCACATGTGGTGTTATTTAAGACCAAATAATCTGAATTTAAGGGAATGCGCTTATGTCAAACTATTATATGTCAGACCACACCCCTGTGGGTGGGGGTGGGGTTTCCCCTGAAGGGAATGGATGTTCCCACTGTCAATCATCTTAGAGAAGGGTCAATACTAGGTCAGGAAATGAGAGCTCTGACAAGCAGTCCTAAGAATGAAGTCAGGAAGAAACTTTCTTCCTCTCTCCCTGCATCCAGGAGTTGGTTTGATCAGGACTCTGGGGTAGGTTGTTGCCTAGAGCTTGTTCCGTATTAGGTGTTGAGCTGTCCCAGGCAGCCCAAGAGAGTGGCATTATGTTCTATGACTTTCTATAATTCCCAAATTAACAGGTTTGCTGAAGGTTGCCATTTGGACTCTACTGAACTACATTCCACCCATGGAATGACTTAGATTAGGGAGAGGTGTGGCCCTGTCCCAGATTCTGAACTGCAGGGTGGTGCAGCATTCACCATCAGGAGTCAGCTAGGCTGCACAAGGCAGAAGTCTGGAGGATCCTCAGAGGTGATGGTGATGGCAATAGCAACCAGCTGCAACCACCTTCCAGATCAACCAGCATCCAGGCCTGGATGTGACGCAAGATTCACCTGGCAACCTTGTTAAATAGGTTCTAATTATGTCTAGGGTGGCATACAAGACTGCATTTCTAGCAAGCTCCCAGGTGCTACCGATGCTTCTAGTCCTCGCCTGGCAATAACAAAGGTCTGGCCTTTGCATCTTGCAGTACAAGTCCAAGAATCTGCTCCATCAGCAAACCCAAAGGACAACCAGGACTGAAGGTAAGACACCAATAAGCATGCCGGGGGCCTTTATTCATATCCGCAGAGGCGGGCCCCACGGGAAGACTGGCTAAGGTTCTTACTGATTAGGGAAACATTAACTTGCTGTACTTTGGAGAACAAAGAGTGAGGTGTTTGCAACTCCACGCTGGTGAACAAGGGGGCATAACTACACTCACAAATATCTAGCCATCTCAAAATCAGAAAAGAGTGTGAAAATAATCGTCTTTTAATGCTTAATTGCCAGGTTGTGCCAAATCTTTTTTTTTTTTTTTTTTTTTGACAGAGAGAGACACAGCGGGAGAGGGAACACAAGCAGGGGGAGCGGGAGAGGGAGAAGCAGGCTTCCCGCGGAGCAGGTAGCCAGATGCGGGGCTCGATCCCAGAACCCTGGGGTCATGACCTAAGCCGAAGGCAGACGCTTAACGACTGAGCCACCCAGGCGCCCCTGTGCCAAATCTTGTCTAGGAAAAACATTGTATTTTCCCTTCCTCTCACACTACTACCACACACAGCACTGCTCACCCTAAATGTGAAGGCACTAAGGGCCTGCAGTTAGCACAGACCCCATCGATTAAGGGCTCAGTTCCACAAGGCTGAACCTTTAAAGGTATTCCAAGCAAAAGATGCAGCAAGTATAAAACTCCTGAGGGAGGGAAGACAGATAAGTTCGAAGAAGAGAGGGCAAGGATGGTTGAAGAAGTTGACAGAAGCCAGATCATCCCTAGCCTGGAATCTTTTGAGTTTGTGCATGGTGATAATGATGGTGGGTTAGACCAGGGCTCAGCAACGTTTTCTATAAAGGATCAAGAGGCAGAATCAGGGATATTATATAGGTACTAATATAACAAGAAAGGGTTAAGTTCCAGAATTTTTTTATTAATGAAATTCAAAATAAAATTGAGAATAATTTTTGTAATACAGGTCTACTAATGAGAAGAACAGAATTATTTGGGTGAGGATAACATTTGGCTTAAGTGGGGTTCAAATTTTGTTTCTAATAAAATTGGTTTAAATGTTCGGGTTAATGCTGATCTAGAGTGAGGTTTTATGTATTTCACCTTTGAAAATGTCCTTCACAAAGATAGGTACTGACAAATACTGACATCAATCCACAAGCACATGATTTTCATTGAGCATATTAATCACTCCGAAAGCGTTTATGGAATTCTATTAGATTCTTCTCTTGATATTTGCCTTTTGACATGTCATTGCATTGCAGATGAATCACTTCCAATCGAAGTTAGGTGGAAGCTCAATCGCACAGTTTAGAGAGATTTCATAACATAGAAATTTCCTTTGCACTTGAGTTTGAGTTTAGAAAATATACGTGCTGCAAGTTTGCGTGGAAATGGAGATCTTGCTTTTTAACTTCAGCAGCATAGAAAGTATATTTGAGCTTCACATTACTTATAATCCAAACAACATTGTCATTGAAATGATTGCATACAAGTTTCACATATAAGCGCTGTTTTGTATTGTCATGGTAGGTTTAATTAACTAAGAAACATTGTGTCTGCAACAAAATTTCCAGCTCCATTCAGTGTTCTCTAACAATGGTAGAAGATAATCCTTCTGGTTCAGAAAAATTTGAGTTGCAATTTGAAAAACGATAAAATTATACCACTGCTAAGCCACTGAATTGTTGTGCGGTAGGGCAAGTCAGGATATTCAGCTTCTATTTCTAACACAAATTCACAGAACCAATATCAAGGGTGGTGCCCCGAAAGCACTCCAACATTTTAGTCATCGGGTTGAGAAGGAGAAGCCAGCAAAAGAGACAGGAGAGCAGCCAGCAGGAGGAGGAAAACCGGAAGGAAGTGTTACAGAAAGTTAAAAGCTGCTGAAAGATCAGGTGAGCTGATAAAAAGTATCAGCTAGTCTGGAGGTCATTGGTAATGATCTTGCAAGTGCAGCTTCCATCTCGTGATGGGAAAGAAGCCAGATGAAAGTGAGTAAAACGGTGAGTAGAAAATAGGGACAGGAGAAATCTCAGGTGAGATGTTTTTCTGTGAAGGGGCAGAGAAATGGAGCCACGGAGAAAGGAGGTCGTCATGGTGGCAAGGAAGACGTTTTTTTGTTTGTTTTTGGTTTTGTTTGATTTTAATCTCCATCCTTTAACAAGAAATCACAAAGCCTCCTAACATACCAGAAGACTTAAATGTGAAAGTGACCACAGAAGGCTCAATGACCAGGCATCCATGAAGCGTGAAGTATTCCATATAAGTGGCTTTGCCAGACAAATAATTTATCCTATTAAGCATCAAATCTTTTAAAATTTTGTATGCATTTTTGTGTAAATCTTACTAAAAGGTACTGACCAATTCTCTACTTACTGAATCAGATTATGGACAGCAATTACACTCGCTTCGGGGCCTTTTGGCTAAGATCAAGTGTGGACAGCAATTATATCCTGAACTACATAGTAAAATGATGTCCTCTCACGGGCTACCAAAGTAGGTATGAATATTTGCTACTACACAAGAGGATCCCAGATGACTAGAGATTTTTAATTTGCTTCTCCCTCACTTGAAGGTTATCAGATGTTCCTCATATTCATAGATGTGATAGCACAACCCTCCCCTGCTGATCTCAGTGTGGCTGTATAATAGAATTACAGGCAGGGTTTTTAAAATGCCAGTACCAGAGATTCTGATCCAATCGGTATGGAGTAATCACTGGGTTACATCTCTCCCAGACCTACAATAGGAATACTTCTTAGGAATTTGCTTTTGAATTAACTATAAAATATTGTAGGTTTAACCTCTTAATAAAATAGTCACTGTTACTGGAAGAGGGCTTAGTAGATGAATCACCTGAAACTTAAATTGTACTTGTAAATACTAAAAAAATAAACGGTGAATAGGTTTATTAACTGGGTATCGAAGATTAAGTCCTACAGGTGAGTCTAATGTGCAACTAGAGTTGAAAACCAAGGATATGGCCCAAAGTCTTCCTTTTAAGATGAGGAAACAGATATCCACAGAAATTGAATGAACTAGGATCACTTAATTTCCAATGGTCAATGTACTATGACTTTCAAAGACCGCCCCCCCTCCAGCCCCAATTTTTGTACAGGCTGGAATATTAATCACTGGAACATTTGTTGGGTTCTTGGTATGTGCTAGAATCTGGTCAAGACATCTCAGAGACAAAGGTGAATAAGACAAGGTTTAGTGGTGAGTAGTTCAGAGTCTGTTGGGTTAAAACTGCAAAAATAAAGTCACAGTTAAATATGTGATAATAATCATTTATTCAATGGAGCACAGACTAGCAAGTGACTAAAGAATGTCAATTAGTTCTGGGTAAAAGCCTGAATAAAGAGGATGAGCTTTAGTGGGAACACATAATTCCTGGAGAAACCACAACATAATAGGCGGTAATCAGCCTGTTCCATTGCATACTAACCAATCCTGAACTAGACTTGCCTAAATCAATTGATCCCTTTCTCTTGTGAAGTATTGAGGGTTGGGCGCCTGGGTGGCTCAGTTGGTTAAGCGACTGCCTTCGGCTCATGTCATGATCCTGGAGTCCCGGGATCGACTCCCGCATTGGGCTCCCTGCTTGGCAGGGAGTCTGCTTCTCCCTCTGACCCTCCCCACTCTCATGTGCTCTCTCTCATTCTCTCTCTCTCAAATAAATAAATAAAATCTTTAAAAAAAAAAAAAAGAAATATTGAGGGTTAGCTTTTTATAAACCCTGACTTTGCCTTTGTTCAAGGAGACAGCCTTTACAGAGGCTATTCTGCCTTGTAAGTACCAGCAAATCCTCAGTGCTTTAAATGATTGCCTCTTACTCTTTTTTTTTAAGCATCCTTTTTTTAAACTTTTTTATTGTGGTAAAATATATGTAACATAAAATTTTCTATTTTAACTATTTTTAAGTGTATAATTCAGTGGCATTAATTATATTCACAATGTTGTACAACCATGACCACTAAGTATTTCTGAATTTTATATCAGACAAGAATCTTTAATTTTTTTATTATATACATCTCAGGTGTACAGCTTTATAATTCAACATCTGTATACACTACAAAGTGATTCCCACCACAAATCCAGTTACCATTCATTACCATACAGTTGACCCCCTTCACCCATTTCACTCAACCCCCTTCTCCTCTGGTAATCACTAATCTATTCTGTGTATGAGTTTGTTTTTTTATTTTCATTTTTTGTTTGTTTACATTCCACATATGCATGAAATCATTGCTATCTGTCTTTCTCTGACAGTTCACTTAGCATAATACCCTTAAGGCCCATCCATGTTGTCACAAATGTCAAAATTCCATTATTTTTTAGGCCTGAGCAGTGTTCCATTGTATAAATATATCACATCTTCTTTATCCATTCATCTATCAATGAACATTTAGGCTGTTTCCATATCTTGACTATTGTAAGTAATGTTACAGTAAACATTAGTGGTGCACATCTTTTCAAAGTAGTGTTTTCATATTCTTCAGCTAGATACCCTGAAATGGAATAGCTGGATCATATGGTAGTTCTATTCTTAATTCTTTGAGGAATCACCATACTGTTTTCCATAGTGTCTGCAACCAATTTATAACCTCACCAAGTAAATGAGGTTCCCTTTTCTCCACATTCTCTCTAAAACTTGCTGGTTTTTTGGGCGCCTGGGTGGCTCAGTTGGTTAAGCGACTGCCTTCGGCTCAGGTCATGATCCTGGAGTCCTGGGATCGAGTCCCGCATTGGGCTCCCTGCTCAGCAGGGAGTCTGCTTCTCCCTCTGACCCTCCCCCCTCTCATGTGCTCTCTCTCTCTGTCTCTCATTCTCTCTCTCAAATAAATAATCTTAAAAAAAAAAAAAAAACTTGCTGGTTTTTTGCCTTTTTGATAACAGCCATTCTGACAGGTATGAGGTGATATCTCATTATGGTTTTGATTTGCATTTCCCTGATAATGAGTGATATTCAGCGTCTTCTCATGTGCCTGTTGGCCATCTATAGGTCTTCTTTGGGAAAATATCTATTCAGATCTTCTG